CCCCCAGCCCCTCCAGTCCCCCTTTTTCCCCCCCGGCCCCTCCTGCTCCCGATCTTTCACAGGCCCAACAGCTGACCCCCCACCCTCCTGCCCAGGCCAGGACTAGGCCCCACTCCACCCGATCCCAAGGCCATGGCAATGCCAGGACACAGGAAGGAGGCAGGACCCTGCAATCAGGGAAGCAATAGCCTACTTGAGCCCCCCTCCCACCGCCAGGTTTTCAGTCCCCTACCAATCCAGTTAAAGGTCATTTAAGTTATATAACAAAATCTTTATTTTTGAGTGAAAGATTTACCTTGTCTATAAACATCTGAACAGTACACAGAGAATTTTTTTTTAACAGTTAGCACATTTTCTTTACTGATAGTGTTTCTAATAAAAAAACTAATGTCTGTGTTCAAAGAAAACCAGGTGTGTGTGTATTCTTCATGGGAATAGGGTAGGGGTAGTAGAGGGACAGGTAGGAGTGGGCCAGGCCAAACCTCCCATGGGGGAGGCCCTGGGGAGAGTTGGTGGGCTCCTTCTGAGACTCTCTCCCTTGGGGCCTCTCGGATTTGGACACCAGTCTGGTGAACCTGGTGGATGGCAGCTGTCCGGGGCTGCTGAAATGGCCTCTCCTCACCAACAGCACCTGTCCCCGACCCCAGCAGGGAGGCATCCCCTTTCTTCTCCACCAGGTTATGGTGGGTGCAATATGCGGCTATCACCTCCAGGATGTTGCGTTCGTTCATCTCCAGGCGTGTGAGGAGGCAACGGAACCTCCCTTTCAGCTGGCTGAAGGCGCATTCCACGTGGATGTGAGCCTGGCCAAAATGCATGTTGAAAAGCTCCTTGCTCACACCCAGGTGGCTGGTGTAGGGATTCATGTGCCACCACATCGGGGGTAGGCCCCATCGGCCACTATGCACACCGGCATCTGCACGTCCCTGAGTGCAAGTTGACACTGGGGGGAAAATGCATCTCCAGGCGTGTGAGGAGGCAACGGAACCTCCCTTTCAGCTGTCCAAAGGCACATTCCACCTGGATGTGAGCCTGGCTAAGGGTACGTCTACACTAGCCCCCTAGATCGATCTAGGGAGGCTAATGAGGGGACCAGAATTGCAAATCAAGCCCAGGATTTAAATATCCTGTGCTTGATTTGCATGTTACTGGCCGGTCGCCATTTTAGAAATTGACTAGCCCGAAGTAACTGCCCGCGTCTACAAGCGGCAGTGAAATGGGATTCCGATTTAAAGCCCTAACTTGAATTAGCTGGTATTCCTCCTGCAATGAGGTTTGCCAGCTAATTTGATTTAGGGGCTTTAAATCGAAATCCCGTTTCACTGCCGCATGTAGACGCGGGCAGTTACTTCGGGCTAGTCAATTTCTAAAAAGGCGACCAGCTGGGAACATGCAAATCAAGTGCGGGATATTTAGATCCCAGGCTTGATTTGCAATTATGGTTGCCCTAGATCGATCTAGGGGGCCAGTGTAGACGTACCCTAAGATGCGTGTTGAAAAGCTCCTTGCTCACCTCCAGGTGGCCGGTGTAGGGCTTCATGAGCCATCTGGATGTGAGCAAGGTGTAGGCTGTGTTGGCCACTATGCACACCGGCATCTGCACGTCCCCAAGCGCGAGGTGCCACTGGGGGAAAAATGTTCCTGCCTGCAACTTGTGGTACATGTAGGAGTTTCTGAATATGCGGGCATCATGTGCCCGCCCCACCCACCTGACACAAATGTCCATAAAGTGTCTCCGATGGTCAACGAGGACCTGCAGCACCATGGAATAGTAGTCCTTCCTGTTTATAAACTGGGCTGCTCGATGGGGCGGTGCACGGATTGTGATGTGTGTCCCATCAAGGGCTCCTTTGCAATTTGGGAAGCCAGGGGTAGCAAACCCAGCAATGATGTTGTCCAGGTCCCCGAGACAGATGAGCCTCTTCAGCAGCTCCACATTGATGGCCCTCACCACCTGCAGCATGAGACAAATTAGACAGACAGAAACCAGGGAGTTAGACAGGTTACCTAAGCGCTTGGGAGGAGAACCCTCCCCCTCCCAACCCACCTTCTCCTTGTCAGGATACCCCCCCTCCTTCTCCGCATCAGTGCAGGGGTGGCCAAGGAGCAGCCTCTGCGAGCCATTCCATCTCCCACTCCCTCTTGCCCTTGCCTGGCAGTCAGCCTTTCTCAACTCCCCTCCACCACTCAGCAGGGCCTATCCCCTGACAGTGACTTACCTCCATCAAGACGGCCCCGACAGTAGACCTCCCCATGCCAAATTGGTGTCCCACAGAATGGTAGCTGTCGAGGATGGCCAGCTCCCACAGAGTGATTGCGACCCGCTTTGGCAGGGGGATGGCGGGCTGCAGGTGGGTGTCCTGGTGTTTCAGAGCAGGGGTGAGCCAGGCACACAGCTCCAGGAATGTGGTCTTCTGTATCTGGAAGTTGCGGAGCTAGTGGTCATTATTCCAGACCTCGTCTCGTGCCTCCAAATCTGCCTGTCCCCAAAAAAGTTTGGGGGCAAGGTCAGAGATCCTGCATCCCAGAGGAGGGTCTCCTCGGTGCAGTCCGGGTCCATATGGGGCAGGAGATTCATGACAGAGTCATGCAGATGCAGCAGAAGCTGCAGTAGGGCAGCGTGGGGCCATCGCCTGCCCAGGGGAAGCTCAGGCTCCATGGCCTAATAAAAGGTGGAAAGCAGAAAAAAACCCTGCAAATAAACTGCTGGGGTATCTGAGGAAGCAGACCAACCAAAGGAAGCACTAGCAGCAGCGTTGCTTTCCCTCTAGGAGATAGGCAAGCCAGAACCATGAGCAGAGCAATGGTTATCCAGGGAGATCCCTTTAAGCATGCGTCTCTGCAAAGGGCAGGCAGCAGAACCTGGAAATAAAAGCTGCCCCATGCCCTGCCAGAAGCACTTCCGGGTGCCTTCTTTTGTTGACAGAACATCTGGCAGTCTGGACGCTCTTTTTCAAAAAAGCGGATCGATTTTTTGATCCACATAATGTAATCTAGACACTCTTTTTCGACAGATGCTTTGTCGACAGATACTGTCCACAAAGCCTCTGTCGAAAAAGGCGTGCAGTCTAGACGTATCCCAACAAAGTTGATATTTCCTAATCTTTTATTCAATCTTGGCGGTGCTAGCTGCAGAGAGAACTCTTGTATTGGTGTGATGATCTTCCCACCTGATACGGAGAATCTCCCTAGGCTGCACTTAAGGGGACCAAGGTGTTGGTCCCACTCCAGACACTTCAGATGGCTTCAGAATGTGGCCCATGTCTCTCACTCATAAAGAAGAGTAGAGATAACTACTGCATTGTTGACCAGGAACTTTCCATCCACAGATCTCTGACAATAAAAACACAGGGAATCAACTTTCCAAAGGATGCACGGGCACAGTGAATGGACATGTGCACTGTCACTAGTCTGGACATACCGTCAGAACGCTCACTGATCAAATCCTGGGGATCTGTACATTTATTTGGCTATTAACCATCGGATGAATGATCGCATAAAGGGATGCGTTGAAAGCAACAGAAAGCTTATTTTGCTTAGCTGCTCTGTATATACACCATTCAATTTCATTTAATTTGAAAGGGTAAATAGGGAGATCCTGAAGCACTGTCAAAAGCATTATCCAGATGTACAAGACGAAGCCAGCATTGATTTATGAACTGCACTCCTAGATACGGCTTAATATGCGAACTCCCTTTATTCACACTAATAACATAGACATCTCAGGCAAAATATTCATTTAAAAGAGCTCCATTTGCACGGGGAAAATACACATTCAATTGTGCACCTATATTGCTACATGCAGTCACCCAGGTGACACATCTGTTTGCATATACCATTAACTTTGCATCTGTTTGCATATACCATTAAATTTGTTTAAAATTTAGCCTGCATGACTTTATATAGAAATCATTTCTGGAATTGTATTGTAAGAAGTTGATACATTGGCCTTTTTATCAGTGGTCTATTCATGCACGTGGATGGATTATCTGTATTAGGACTGAGCATCCATCAGTTTGTTTTATGTTTGGATACCTGTTTTGGCAAGGCAGTTTGGTTTGCTTATTTATTAAGTATATAATTATGTATTATGAATTATTATTATTAAACAATTGATCTCTGAGCCTTTAATGCTGATTTCCATAGGTGCATGAATACAGCAGAAATGAGTATGGCATTGTTGTGCTTAGCAGATGTAATCTCTCAATTCCTCATGTATTAAATTGTGTATATAAAAGTTCATATTTACTCATGATGGAAATTCTAAACAATTTACTGATAAATAATTTCACTTTATTTTTTGGCGTATACAGTGACACTGCCCCAACATGTTGTAAAACTCATTAGTTATGAGTGTGAAAAAAACCATTCCAGACATGCTTAATTATCCCAATTCTACCTACAGTATCTATAGTTACTTTACAGGCAGTCACAGCTCACTCAGTAGAACTGAGATTGATTAGAACCACAGAATAGTAATGTTTAAGACATGAGACCATATAGAGTATAAAGTCTCAACCCTAATCCCCTCGAGACTATTTTATTTAATTTGTTTTCATCAAGAACAAAATCAAACCAATCTATATATAACCTCTGAAACGCCAATTACCTCATTCTCTAACAATTTAACCATCTCCTTCTTTAACTAATTCAAATTCTTGTTAGAGTTAAGTCCTTGACATGTTCCATATTTCAGCATCATGTTTATAGACTTACTTATAGGTCAGCATCCTATTTAACTTCAATCTATGACCTTTTGGTTTTGACTTAGTGACTGTCTGAAACACTGCTCAGCCATCAGTCCATTTTTTTTTAACTTTTAGAATTTATACTACACTCCAGTCACTGTTTAATTCTAATTACTAAAGGCAAAATCTGGCAAATCTTGTACAATGCCTTAAACCAGACTAAACTCTGTTTCAGTTTGGAAACCTTGTTCTGTGCTTTTTCAATATTTGACATTTTTTCT